GATACAGACTACCGGCCTATTGGTTTTGGTGTTTTCATTGGATTTGTGACAATGTAGAATAGTGTCAGTCTTATCCTTTATTCACTACAATATTAATAGAATTTTTGCTGTACACTCCGTGTTTTTGAAACAACACAGACCATTGATATTTACTTGGTAGTAAGTACTATTTTGCAGCCATATGTTAGCTTGGCAGATACTATGCGTTCAGGCCTGCCTGGGTCTTGCTGTCTGAATGAGATGAGGTTTGAGGGGTTTGTTACATGACACCCAGGAGAATTCTCCTTTGTGATTATGCAAGCTGGCAGCATACACCGGTATGGTCAGCCGTGTTGGCAGTAACTCATTGCAGTGTTTTGGACTTACGGTATGTAAGGGACAGTATTGTATCCAGGTAAATGCAGAGTTGCTTTCATAATGTGTTCCTACAGTAATGTTGTGTCTGCATTTTGTCAAAGCCAAACTGTCAATCTGGCTATCTGTGCTCTAACGTGTTTCCTGTCATAAAGCACAAGGCAATGAAAGAAGCCTCTTGAGATGCTGCCCCAACTTAGCTCGTCCTTATGGAAATACACACAAAGCGCTGAATTAATTGAGCGAGAAAAGACGAATTAGTCAGCACATTACCCAGTTGATGAATGACCAAAATGCATTTTTTGCAGAGTCATCTGAGTGTGTTTTACAAACGTCAACGTGGCTGAGGCACAATCTCTCTCCTGTACGCACATCACTTGGCTAATATACTGTACAGTAGTCATTTAGGTGTGTCTGTTTATTACTCCTTTTGTAAGATCTACTTTGTGTATTTGTAGTGTCTCTCCACCTGGACCCTCACTTGGTATAAAACTGTTGGAGAAGTAGCTCATTCACTAACATGTGGTGTTTCTGTATGTGATGGAGAAGCGAGATGCCAAGGGCTGGTCTCACTGACCATATAAATCATTAATGTAAAGCTAACTGGTGTGTAACAGTCTTCCCTGGAAATCTGTTGGTGCTTCCATATGAATGAGTGAAATATTTAAATAAAGACCCCTGGCATCCTGATCAGATATTTGCATTACCAGAAACTGTTTTGATTGAGTTTTAACCAGTTGCATTATTCTTCTATACGAAAGTAGTTCTTGGCCTTTTTTTGTCTGACATTTCTCCACATGCATCTCATCATGATGAGCTCAGATACCCCTTCACCAAATCCACCTGTTTGGGGAAATATATGAGAACAACAGTAATTTATTGTGGTGGAAATGGACGTTAGGCAACACTACAGAAAGTGGATATTGTAATGATGTTTGATATTGTAAATATTTAGGTTGGATCTCAGCCTTGGCCCAGTCTCCACCCTGTTGTAGACCCAGCCCCTTGTTTTTGTTCACTTTACCTGCTCCTGCTCCCTGCTCCACCCAGCTCTGCTCTCACTCATCTGCTTCCTGTCTGCATCATTATTCAGCCAGCTTTTCAGACAGAAACCTGTTTTCATTACCTGATGGAGTGTCCGTGAAGTAACACCTGTTGTGGCTTTCCAGTGTCTGCATATGGTTTCCTTCTCTGCTAGTGACCTGTTTTACCTGTTGGACTCTGGTTTTGACAGTTTCTTCAGTGTTTGGACTTTTGCTTGTCTCCTGGATCTGGTCAGTTGTCTACTCCCTTGTTTTACCTGTCGGCCTCAACTGTGTACGAACATGTGCTTGTTTCCTGGACCTGGTTAGTGCACTCCCCCTATCTGAACTGTCTTTCAGCTGCCTGCCTGACTGCAGACTGCCTTGTCTTTTTGACTTTAGCCCGTGGCCCTGTTCATTCTGCCTTATGTTAGAGATTGATCTTTCCTCCACTGTTTTAACACCATTAAAGCCCTGTTTACTCTTCACTACAACCACCTTGCCTCAATTGCTGCATTTGGGCCCTAAACTAAAATGCTAAACATGATAATTGCATCTGTGGGCACTGTATTTACCCCTCCAAAACTCCTGGGACCTTGACTGGATGGCACCCCTACAGTTCTAATGTGACAAGCAGTAACTTTGGTTTTTTTTTTTTTTTTTTTTTAATCAGTCTTGGTAGCTGCATCTGCATGCTCATATTTTAGCAAGCGAATAGGCTGTTTGTCTGGTTACAGAATGGGAATGATTTGTTATTGTATATCTGAAGTTCAGAAACACAAGTAGGTTAGTTAGTGCTTCATCCGCTCAGGTAATGGTCAACAGTGATTTGGTGGCACCCACAACAGTCAAAGCAGCTCCTGTCAAAGTTCAACAAATCTGAACATTTGGCACAACCCCACTGTGGTGATAAATATATATATATTTTTAATCAAATCATAATTTTCTTTTCTAATTAGTTGAGCATCTCCCTAGTTTTTCCACGAACCCCCTGCCAAGTGCAGAAGTATCCCCTGGTGCAAACCTCCCTAGATGGAAATCTCAGCACTACAATATGTAAAGCTAACAGATGTGGAACAGTCTTCCCTGGAAATTGGTTGGTACTCCAAACGAGTCAGTCAGCCAAGAGTGCAAGACAAAATCTACACAATCTTGAACATTAGTCTTGTCCTTCTCTTCCTGGTGTCCTCTGTTATTTTTAATGTAACTGGCCTCACTATCCTTAACTAATTAGGGTTTTAGTCTGGGATGAAATGGGTCTTCTTTTCTCTTCTGCTGATGAATGTATTACTTTGAGTTGCAAGAATAAGGATTAAAGGCATCTATAGCAGCTGTCCACCACTGCTGTGTTGTGTGACTGAAACCCACATTTTTAAGCATCTTTTTGATCTGAGTGCTTAAAATGCATTTCATTTCACACATATTAGCCCAGTGAGAGACTTGCTGATCTGATTGGGCTGATTATTAAGCATAGATAAATGGCACCATTGTGTGATGCTGTGAGAATCACTCTGGCATCCAGCAAGTGTTTCCAAACTTTGGGCGCTGAAATCTGAAATCTCGAGCAGCTGGATGGGCAGCCTGCCACCTGGGTTCACACGGTACAGACGGCAGGCAGGGCTGGTTGTGTTTGTGTGACTCACTTCTGTCTGTCTGTGCTTCTGTCTCTTTCTCATTTAATTTTTTTCTACCTAGTATGATCTCATACAGTCATTCTCTGGTCACAGAAATATTGTTATAGTGCTGTGGCTTTTGCCACGGAGTGGCTGTAAAGGTGTCGCACATGAGGAGATTGGTGGCATTGCCAGAAGCAGTACAGGATTTGAAAGACAGCTGGGGTCCGCCAGGCTGCGATTTAGTAACAAGAATAACGTCATACATCAATAAGGCCATGCTGTGGTACAAAAAAATTGCAGAATATAACTGTTGAATGCCAAATTATTAACAAGGAGGAGGGGAAAAAACATTATATCATATAGGCTTGTTACTGGTTGTCTGACATGTGCTGTATATTTAGTCTTGAATGCTGATTGTGCAGTAAATATTTACTCCTGATCTGAATAAGGTTTGTAACATGGGACACAGTATTTACTATAAAACTAAACAAAATATAGAAAATTGTCACCATGCCATATGTAGGTGATACAATGTTGGACAGATAATGAAAATACTAAATTATTTCCCAACTTATAAGAACTCAACCCCCACCTCTCTGCTGCCTATTAATAATGTAGCTCCTAGTGTCGCTGTCGACTGTTTCACTGAAACAACCTATAACAGCTTTTTCTGCCAGTCAAGACAGATAGAGTAGGGCAGTTGCCATCACAAGTGATAAAAAAATTGAAGCAATATACCATTATTTGAATAAAAGTTTTTACTCTGAAGTTAAAGTTAATACATCATTTTAAAGTGGAATTCACATCTGATGAGTGAGAACCGTTTTATGAGCTAGATTTATTTGTGATAACAGTTTTGGCAGTTTAAAGAGATGTTGGGACTGATTTCAAGTGCAACAAAATGCATAAATTATGTTCATGTCTCTCAGTTTGAATTAATGATGAAGACTTCTCATCTCTCCATTGTTGCAGAAGAAAGGAAGTGTTTATGCTAAGATGAGAACACCTCGAACATAAGCCAAAATTTACCAGAATGTTGTTTTTTATTCTGGGTCGTTCTCAAACTGGAGTGGCCATTACCTCTGCCTCGGTAGTACTGCAGAGCCCCGTTCTTTGTTGAAAGGGTCTGGATAATACCAGTCATCTTACAGTAGAGCACACTTCACTGTAGATGTTAACATGCTACTTAAAGGTTAAGGATGGGAGGATTCTATAATTGTGATATTGTCAACATCCTTGAGCCACATGCATGTGAGTATACATTTTAATTTTTCATTTTTGACAATTTCTTATGTTTGTCATGATAAAGGAAAATGGAACCCAGTGCTCATTGATGGATTCTGTAGAAGAATGAAAGTCGACAAAACGGAGAAATCAGATAACTCGGGCTTCGGCTCCACAGACGACATTTGTTAGTGGGATCAATTCATTGTTGGTCCTGTTCTCTTTATGGTGTTTGTTTATAATGGGACAAATGTTGAATATCACCAGACTTTAACTGTTAACACTTTCACTGACAACAGAAAATTACCAGCTTGATACAATAAATGCTGCCTGTTAACCAGTAAACGGGTATTTCTGGTTCACACTGAAGATTCTTATGCAGCTGATGTAAAACTAAATACAGTAAATGCTCTGGCATGATGCCTGTGTTTATGACTTTTTTTCTTGAAAATTACTGTATATATTATAAGTATATACACTTTCATTAGAATATGTAGTTTGTGTTCCCAAAAACAAGGAAATGTGGTTTTGTTGTTGTGATTTTTGTGCCACTGATTGAATATGAGTCAGCATGCTGTGTTTTGTTATGGATCAACAAATCTTTTCCTGCTTATTTGCAATTAATTCTTTCTCTGTTGGTTGATCACTCAGAAAGTGAGCAAAGATTATTTAAATGAGTTTTTTTCTCTGACAGGATTAATAAAACCCAAGAGTTTGCAAACTTACAGTGTGTGTATATTGAAATGTATTTACTGGTGTGTGTGTGTGTGTGTGTGTGTTCCAGTTTCCTGCTGGTGTTCAGCTGCTTGGTGTTGTCTGTGTTCTCGACCATCCCCGACCACCAGAAGGTTTCTAACGAAGGCCTCTTTATCCTGGTAAGGCTCTTCCCCTCTCACACAAACACACATGTTTGACTACTTCAGCATCCATATTTATACGCTGTTCTTTTAACACACACCAGCTCACATCTTTTTGTGCTTGCATACTTGTTGTTTTGTTTGCTGCTGAAGGCGCCGATAGCCATGTAAGCAGGTCATAGGATTCAGGTGTTGTTGACTTTGCAGGACATCACAGATATAATCCACTAAACCTAATACCTGTTTCCTAATCTGCCCTGTTCCTCTGTACCCCAGCTCTCCATCCCCAGCTGTGCCCCAGACGTGTCCTCTCTCAGCTGACTTCTCCACTCTCTCCTACCACCTCACTCATCTTTATGTGTTATATTATGGCAGGAGGCCTGCCTTTCATATTGCAACTGTTTACTCTTTCAATCAATCACACGGCCATTAGCAGGCAGTCAGCCATTAGTGGACTTTACTTATATGGACATTGACTATAATGACAGGTTGGTTCAGTGCACCTTAAACTGCCAGTATGGTCCAGAAACCTGAAAGACAAAGAGAGAAGACTGACAGAGTAGCGTGTTAATAGGCTGTGATTGTTAAATGTATAATGTAATTTTTCCTTCTCCCTCCTTTCCATCCATTAGATCTAGTATACTGCTTAATCTGTGAACAGTTGCAGGGGGGTTGGAGTCAAGTCCAGCCCACATTTGGTGTGAGGCAGAGTGCACCAAGGTCACCAGTTTATCACAGGGCTGACACATTCAAACCTACAGACACTTTACAGTTCCAGATTAATCTAACCTGCATGTTTTTGGACTGTGGTAGGAAGCCAGAATACAGGGAGGCACAGGGAGAACTCTGCACAGAAAGACTCCCCCCAGAACCTTCCTGCTGTGAGGCGTCAGTGCTAACCACTGTACCACTATACTGCCCTTTTCTTTTCTCCTCCTTTAATTTAATATTCTATAAAATAAAAAGTAAACTAATGCACACTAATGCCAAGCTCATGGGGAAAAAAGAACAATTAGATTTTTTTGCATTAACATATTCACGAGCACCAATGTGTTGTGTTAAATACAATGGATAACTTGGTTGCCCTCGATAGGGGACACTTTTCTTTTGAGAAATTAGAGCACAATCTCAACAATTTACACACAGTGTGTAAATATAAAAACCGTAATGACTGTCACACTTGACTGCATGTCACTTTGACTTTTGGAAGGGAAACAATGCGTACATACAAAAGGTTTTTGGTCAGTCAGTGCAAATTTGTTTGAATGGTCGGTCATACACTCGAGCATAGTGACAGTGTATGTCACTGACCTGTCTATCTCCCTGTGTGTGTGGTTTGTAGGAGTTTGTGATGATTGTGGTGTTTGGGTTGGAGTACTTCATCAGGATCTGGGCGGCTGGCTGTTGCTGCAGATACCGTGGATGGCAGGGACGACTGAGATTTGCCAGAAAGCCCTTTTGTGTCATAGGTTAGTGTGTGTGTCTGAACAGTACAGTGTTCATGTGAAAAATGTTCTGTCTTATCACTTGATAACTCCTTATCATCATCTCCTCTTCATTTCTGTCATCTGTCATCCTTGCAGACTTCATAGTATTTGTGGCATCACTGGCAGTAATTGCTGCAGGGACACAAGGTAACATCTTTGCCACATCAGCCCTGCGCAGCATGCGTTTCCTGCAGATCTTGCGTATGGTTCGAATGGACCGACGGGGAGGCACCTGGAAACTACTGGGCTCAGTTGTTTATGCTCACAGCAAGGTGGAAATGTGACACATGCTCTACTACAAAAAGACTTGTGGTTTATATATAAGAATGGTTTACATTTGTAAGCTTTGAAGACCTGAAAATTAAAACTATATTTATGCATGGTGGCCATATATAGGTCAGTGGATGAATATAAGAGTGGGGGCACACCCTGGACAGGTCATTATGACACCAGCGATATGGTAACGACTGCAGGGATCATGATGGTAATGATGCTGTTACTGACAGGTGTGAGTGATGCCTCCTGTGTCTGTCTCTCTCAGGAGCTGATTACAGCCTGGTACATAGGTTTTCTGGTCCTGATCTTTGCCTCCTTCCTGGTCTACCTGGCAGAGAAAGACAGCAACACAGAATTCAACACTTATGCAGACTCCCTCTGGTGGGGAACGGTGAGTACTGAATATTTTGTTGATTTTCAGTGTTGATTATAGTTTCAGTTTTCACAAGAGCTAACACTTGATAAATGTAATTTTAGAATTACAAAGAGTTAGAATTACCTAGATGAGATGATTGTATTTTTATATTAAATCTTTTGTTGGTTGTGGTATTTACATACTCATTTTGCACATGCATAGTTGCACACTCACTGCTGAGTATTTGCACTCCACGGCTCCCACGTAGCATATATTCTCTCTGCATTATATTGTGTTCTTGTTGTATTTTTACTTGCTTCTTTCACTTGCTGCTTTAAAGTGCCTTAGATTTGTGTTACTGACTATTTAGATTTGTTATTGCTCATCTACTTTATATTTCACTTGTATCGTGTGGCATTCATGTGGACGGCAAAGTAAGAATTTCATTGTACAGGAAAACATGTTTCCTAACTGTGCATATGACAAATAAACACTTGACCTTTATTCTGTGAATGACCAGCGAGGATTTTAGACAGAATTCCTGACACAGAAATCGTAGTGTTTGGAAGTAAAGACTGACAGAATACAGATCTTTTTATAGAAACAGTTACAGTGTGTTAGTCCCCTCTGCAGTTGGCATTTTGTTAGATCTGTCATACTGTGTGTGTATGTCTTCACCCTCCCAGATTACACTGACCACTATTGGATATGGTGATAAGACCCCTCGCACCTGGCAGGGGCGGCTTCTAGCTGCTGGCTTCGCTCTTCTGGGAGTCTCCTTCTTTGCGCTGCCTGCTGTAAGGCCCCTATATATTCATATCCCTGTTAATGGATCCTCTCAGCCTGGTCGCAGTCACACTTATGACTTAAACTTGTCATTTCCAGGGAATTCTGGGATCAGGCTTCGCCTTAAAGGTTCAAGAGCAGCATCGACAGAAGCACTTCGAGAAGAGGAGGATGCCTGCTGCCAACCTGATACAGGTAACAGGCACAGCAGGAGTCACTTAGGCTTTGTTTATGTTTGATAAATTTACACAATTTAACTGGCCAGTCAGGTGGGATGTTAAATGTCACACTGTGTTGGTTTTGTGCATTTGTTACCTTCAGGCTGCGTGGCGTCTCTACTCTACAGATGCCAAACACTCCTACTTGACAGCTACATGGTACTTCTATGACAGCATGTTGCCTTCATTCAGGTAGGCACTGCCATGAGCTCAGCACTGAGTGGACTTGGTCAGCAATATGTGGTCGCCTTTGTTCATTTGTTTGAAGCGTTGTAATAAAGGCAGGAAAAGATTTGAAAGTTACATCACAAAATAGTGAATAGTGAGTTTTAGTCTGTGACACTTTGTGTTGCCTCTGCTCACACATCCAAAACATTAGGAAAACACAACATTCAACACACCTGCTACAGTTTTTCATCTATGAGGAATCCTGTTCAGTTAAAGTTGGACAGTGGTGGTTTTAATATAAAAGTAAACATTGATTCCTTTATTACATTTTTTATATATTATTTTACATTTCCGTCACTGCTTTTCAATTACATTTTCATTACTTTTTCTACACAGTCGTTTGTCATATTTTGTATTTATGAATTAATTTGTCTAATTTTTATTTGCTTAAAAGGAGGAGAGCATGACAGACAGACAAACATGCATCTGTTTTACAGTCAAAACTTTCACTTCTTAATTTCGAATATCCACATGTTATTTTTCTCCCATCATTGTGACCTTTTTGTGTGATTTTCATCCTTTGTTGGTTTTTATTCATTTGTCATGTTTTCTTTATTTATTTGTGCATTTGGGGTGTCAGAGAACTCACACTACTGTTCAGTCACCTCCAGAGACAGCGTAACACCAAGAAGGTTCTCCACAACTCCTACCATACACTGCTGTCTGGGCTGCGGCCCTACAGCTCCCCCTACCTGTCGGGGGACAGGTATGCACTATGCCACCTCTCACCACCTCACTGTACACCCAGACAGATGGCCGTATGTCTGCCTACAGTCACACTCACACCAGAGATATGTAGAACAGCAACATAAAACAGCTGTATACACAAAAGCTTCCAGAATTTTCTGCACGGACGTCTTGTATGTTTAACCGTGTTTCACTAATGCTGATCTGAAACCACTATGTTGCAGGCCCCCGTGCTTCTCTGCATCTTTGTCGGCTTAGCTCACAGTGTTGCCATCTCCACCACCTCCCTCTGGTCACTCACCAGTTTCCTCCTCCTGTCTTTTTACCGTCTTTCTCTTTATTTCTATCATGTCTTTTCCACGTTGTCCATCCTCCATCCTTCATCTGTTCTCAGGAAGGCAGAAGGTCCATGCAGGTTTGTTCTTCAAGTTATGAGCTGTGCTTGTTGATAAAAGGGTATTCATAGAGCAGATTTGATTTCTGTAGTATAAACAAAGGCCAGAATACTGTATTTAAGGCCTGATTATGTCGAGTATACTGTATATCAGACTTGAGAATGTACTAGATGAGAGAAGCACAGTAGTTTTGCTGGTAGTAAGGACTTCACTTAAGGAGCTGCTGTCACACCATGATGCTGATTGGACTTTCTTGATGAATATACTCATGTGAAACTACGTTTGCATGACACCCCCCACCCCACCACCACCCCACTGACCAAACCCACCTCTTCACTTCTCGCTGTGTGTCTCCATAATCTAAAACTGCCTCTCAGAAGTGTGATTTCCAGTTTTAGGTAAGTTAACAAGTACAGGGAAACAGAGGACTATTTGGACTACTGAGACATCACACCTCACCCCTCAGCCTCCCCCTCTCTCCCTGCTTTTTCTTTAGCTACATTTTTATCCTCACCACGTATCCGGGTCCTATCCCGGAAATTCTCATCTCCCTCCACCCCACCTCGCCTCTTCCCCTCACCCTCTCTCCCTCTGCCTTGTGTATCTCCCCAGTCAACTCCTTTGTAAAAAGCGAGGTCTCTTCCGGATTCATGCTGGCCGCAAGCAGAGGTATCCGTGACAACGAGCTTGTGCACGGGCACGCTAAAACGTCACCCTTTTTACACCACAATGCACACACCCTGCTGCTGCCTTTGCCTGAACCACTCAAAAATTTGTGGGCTGTGGCCATGGCTTACTAAACGGTTCTGCTGTGATTTCACCTGCAGTTGCAAATTAGAAACTGGCACTATAGTCTGGTCCACAAATGAGTGAATGTCTTTACTGTGAAGACATATTGCATTCTGTTTTACTATAAGGCTTTCTCTCCTGCTTATTCTTTGTAAGAAACTAGGGCCAACATTGGTTGATTTGGCTTGGAGGTCAGTCGTGATAAACCATGTGTTGAAAACACAACAGAAGTCCTCAGTGGCTTATGATTGTGACACGAGAAATATGTTTTCCTTCCATCAAATAAGCAACGACTTTTCCCAAACTGAAATAGCTGAAGCATTTTCCCCACTTTAGACTTGATTCATATTTTCAATTCATTTATGTGGTCCTCTTATTGAGAGAAGGTTTAAATGGTTCAGCATGCTTTTTTATTGGAGATTAGTTATATGAAACTTTATAACACACCAGTGTGTTTGTACTGCATTTTTACAAAGTTTTTAATTGCTAAAATGTTTTTTTTGCATGCATCTTTCTTTCAGTGTTTTGGAATGATTCAATGAAATCTGTGATTCTGAATGCATCCAAATCATTTACTTCCTTTCCCAACTGCATGCAAAGATCTTTCACTCCCAGTTTCCTCTTGTCTACCTGAAGCGTTTCAGCTTGCTTTTATGAAATGCTGTATCCTCTGACATGCCTTAATTTTTAATTGAAATTACCAGCTATAGCGCATGCACAACAAAGAGTATATCATCGTAAATATAGGACTGGGCTGGTATTGCTCTGTGGTGCATGACTTTTGCATTGGCTAATCGATTTGTGACAGCGTGTAACAGTGACTGCAGAGAAGGTGTGATCTGCAGGGGCTATTATAAAGGCAGCATTAGGAGTCACCAAATAACTTTGGTGATATTTTGATGCTTATTCATTCTGTTGAAGGGATTAAGGAAGCGTATCTTTACTCTGATGTTAGGTGGAACTTTTTTTTTTTTTTTTTTGCTCTCCCAGCACTACTTGAGGTCTTGAATCAGGTTTCAGTCTGAGTTCTGCTGTATCAGGTGCTATGATAGACACATAAAATAAGCAAATGCCCAGGGCTGAACCAGTTGTTCTGAGGGGTCCCTCTGCTCAAACTATGTCAGCTGAGGCAAAATATAAATGTCTTTGTGTGCCCGTTTTGTCTGTTTGCTGATGACTCATAAAATTCAAGCCATTTTTGTGTCACTTTTACTAACAAGCTGTTTCCTGACAAGCTCAGCCTGTCCTGCTGCTGCTTCCCTAAACTCCAAGGATTTTACGGTTTAGTTTTCCATAAAGGTCAATGGCATGGACATTGTAATTGCTGAGTAAAAACTCAGTGGCTGTTATGATTTGAAAAGTTTGACTTTTTATATCTTCGTATCTCCACTGTCAGCAGTAAAACTGGCTTTCGGGATCGAATCAGGATGAACAATTCCCGATCATCCCAAGCCATTCGGAACAAGGCGTCACCGCTGGCCCCAGGCTCCAGTGTCCGACCCTCTCCCAGTCAAGAAAACGTCCCTGAGGCCACCAGCCCGGGGAAAGTCCAGAAGAGCTGGAGCTTCAATGAACGTACACGGTTCCGTACCTCCCTGCGCCTCAAACCCCGCCCTTCTGCTGATGGTAGGAATCATACTTACACTTTTCCTTAACACTCGCAGGACTAATTTCTGCAGAATAATGCGTCAGAATATCTTTCCTCTGCCTTCAGTGGAGGCAGTCGGAGAGGACAGTGTGGAAGACAAACCATATTCTGATGTGCCCATGGAGGATGTAATCCCAGCAGTGAAGACGCTCATACGAGCTGTCAGGTGAGTCCTGCCATCACCAACAGACATACTACCTGCAGTGGAAGTTATTTTTATGGTAGAAAAGATGCACACATTTTAAGATTGCTCTTTAACCCATTAATGATCACAGATGACTGGTCACCTAATCTAACAGAATCAACCACAGGTCATACAACATAATATACTTTGTGCCATTTTTGTAGACCCATTTGGATCTCTTCTTTTTTTAGAAGCAATGACGCCTTTTGACTGGTATTAAGGCACAAGAACACTGAATATTTTCTTTACACTGTTATTGTGCTTTTAAAATTGGTTTCTTTTCTTTTGTTACTAATAAGTATCACCCTGTATTTTACACATCAGTGACTGTATTTTCATTGAAAATATTGAACAAAAATCAGCGCGATTATGCTGATATTAGATTTATTATACTGATGATCTAGAATCAAACTTTACTTGAACCTCCCAATTAACATTTGTAAGCAGTATATAAACCTTTGATTTATAACACTTCAATGTGTTACATGAACAATTGTGGGTGTGGTGTACACTTTGTAATAATTTTTTAGTATATTACTTGTGTGGTGTAGATGCAAGAACAGGCTCAATGATTAATTACATGGACAATTGTGGGTGTGGTGTACACTTTGTAATAATTTTTTAGTATATTACTTGTGTGGTGTAGAAGATAATTACTTAAGAATGTAATTATGTAAGAATGTTAACACTGTATAATCTTTTTTAGTATAATACTTGTGTGGGTAGAAGTGAATCATTTACTGCTTGCAAACCAATGATGGTAAGATGATGTCATGGGGTAGGACTGGATAAGTCTGACTTCTTCCTACTCCATTCAAGCATGTACTAGGTATAAGTAAATTGATATTGGATTATGTGTAAAATTATGTGTGTTGTCATATCAATTGTTTTTACATGCTTGAAAGAATAAATCAAATCAAATCAAATCAAATGTATTTATAAGCAAATATAAGAAGTTGGAATTGTTGATGAATACTATACATTAACCAGAAAACTTCATTTTCTAAAGAAAATGCGTATGGATGCTGAGTGCTGAAAGATCACCCTGAAAATGCTGAACATTTTGACACCTGAATGGTTTTGCTAGCTGAAAGTATGCTGAAGTTGGAATTTCCCATTCATTTGAATGGGGCATGATTTTCAAAATAAAGCTGAATATTTAAAATGTTTGAAGTTATGAAAAGTTCTGAATAGTGCTATGAATGTCCTTGAAGAGCTGAACATTTTGAAAGCTGAAATAGCTGAAAGTATGAAGAAGTAGAATTTTCCCATTCATTTGAATGGGGCATGATTTTCAAAATAAAGCTGAATATTTAAAATGTTTGAAGTTATGAAAAGTTCTGAATAGTGCTATGAATGTCCTTGAAGAGCTGAACATTTTGAAAGCTGAAATAGCTGAAAGTATGAAGAAGTAGAATTTTCCCATTCATTTGAATGGGGCATGATTTTCAAAATAAAGCTGAATATTTAAAATGTTTGAAGTTATGAAAAGTTCTGAATAGTGCTATGAATGTCCTTGAAGAGCTGAACATTTTGAAAGCTGAAATAGCTGAAAGTATGAAGAAGTAGAATTTTCCCATTCATTTGAATGGGGCATGATTTTCAAAATAAAGCTGAATATTTAAAATGTTTGAAGTTATGAAAAGTTCTGAATAGTGCTATGAATGTCCTTGAAGAGCTGAACATTTTGAAAGCTGAAATAGCTGAAAGTATGAAGAAGTAGAATTTTCCCATTCATTTGAATGGGGCAAGATTTTCAAAATAAAGCTAAATATTTTAAAAAGTATAAAAGTTACAAAAAAGTTGTATTCATCCGCGCATGTCCTGAAAAAGCCGAACATTTTGATACCTGAATGGCTTTTCTAGCTGAAAGTATTCTGAAGTAGTTATGTGCCAAAAAACGAACGGAATAATAATAATAATAAAGAAATAAATAATCGGAAAACATAGTATGGATGCTGAATCAGCATCCATACAATAAACAGTTAAAATGCCCTTATAGCAGCATATACCTACAGTATAGTGTGTTATAAACATTTATTAAATGCCTTGGTACTGCTTATAAATTCTAAATAGGGGGCTTTCAAGTAAAGTGTTTACAGTACTTTGGTCAGACAAACAGCCTATGTGTATATATTCAGATCATGGGCGCTTCATGGTGTTTACAGCCTGTCTTCTTAGTTGAACATGGTGCCCCCCCATCTGGATGCTGGCGAGTGCACATTCAGTAGAAATGCCCACTTGTAGAGGTACAGTAACTGAGCCCCCCTGGAGGCTTACTGCACCCTGTGTCACCTGGTCGCTCAGCAATCCCAGCTCATTCAGGCCAGCCATGTGACAGGCGGCATGATAGAGGGCCTATTAGGCAATACACATGCAAAAACACACTCAGAAACACTGTACAGATGGGAGATTACAGTACGTTATGACTTTCAGAGACAAAAGATATTTTACAGTTTAGACAAAGACAAGTGTAATAACTGTTTAAGGGAGTTGATGATACTGATGTTTACTGTGTCATCTCTTCTTTGATGTAATGTTAATGTTGTATGTCAGTGGCCAGTGTCCTTAATGAACAGTCTTTTTAAACTTACAGTAATGAAGAGAAGCAGAAACACTGCACATGCAAATCAAGTAGTTGGACAGTGTGTGCATGTGAAGAAATGGTCTACTGGCAAATCTATACAACAAATATAAGAATTAATAAATAATCATAGTGTATAAAATGCACAAATGTACTTTTCTGTAAACAGTGTCTGTGTGAACATGTGCATATCCACCCCCCCACCACACATACTGAATAGTATTTTCACTGATGGTGGCAGAAAAAAAACTAGCTACCTGCAGGCATCTGGTGCTGGGGCCAGGCTACGCTCTCAAGAGGGTTTGCTGAGAGCATATTACAATGCCTCTATCTCTGCCTGTGTGTTGGCACCGTAATCTCACTGTACAGTATTTCTCTTGGTAGCATGATACCGCCTGTGTGGTTGCCTATGCTCTCTGTGAAACTTTTAAATGAAGCATGTGTAAATGTGTGGGGCAACACTAAGGATCCTGAAATTCAGGGATCTGCTCTGCCAGAAAAAGTCTCATAGTTTTTGAATCTGGGAGTATTTATTTATTTATTTAAGCATTTTTGCTGTGCCTTCCTGATTTTATCTGAGTGCTCATGGTTTTGAATGCTGTGGCCCGTGGATTTATTTTATAGCAGCACTGATTGTAAACACTAAACCTACAGTCTGTAGCCAAACTACATGAATTAGTGTTACATTTTTAATAATGACCCTTTGAAAACTGCATTTTCATCCTAGTATGTTACCACACTCATGTGTTTGTGTGTGTGTGTGTGTTAAAACGTAAGGTGAAGCTTTCTTCTTTGTAGATGTACAGTAGGTAGATATTTTCTGTTCCAGGGGTGCAGTATGATATATTATGTTTGATATCTTTAGGCCACTAATAGGGTATTATATGATCGGTCCTTGAGTTTGTGCGACTCAGCAGATAGCTCTGACCTCAGCTGCTCTGTGCAAGAGACAATAGAAGACAGGGAGTTCCTATAGATAGTGCAGGTGTGTAAACAGCAGGTGCTTCACTGTGTTAACCCACACATGCGCATGTGCACATGCAGTGTCTTAGCAAGATTCATGACTGATGTTTGTGAAACAGAATTTTGCACCAGGCCTTAGTGCTGAGACTCCACTTTAGAGAGATGCATGTGGTGCATCGGTGCCTGTCAGAATTGTGATTTAGAGGATCCAGATGCAGACTCGGACGAAGGATGCAGTAGTGAGGGAGATGGTTTTTAATAACAGGATTACTGGCAAACAGGTTAACGCAGGTAAGAGTTACGTTAGGAACCTAAACACAGGTAATCACTATGCAGACACAATACAAAAACTAAAAATACTACAGTACAAATCAAGTAATTGGCTCAGGAAATATACCACTACTCAGATTCAGGAAATGCCTGAATACACAGATTGTGCTTTGTGCACTAGATTTTATAGAGAAAGTAGTCGTATCTGGCCAGGAACCAGGTTCGCCCTGCAGTGGCTCGCCCTACTTGGCCCACCTAGGATACGTGTCAGCATAACAGTCATTTTTAAGTCTCAAATAAAACCTTGCCATTGGAGACTATCAGGGATCCACATTTGCTGAATTGCAAAAATATGTGCTCTAGCTATGCAAGCATTTTGGAGCCCATATGACTCTTCCTGTCCCTCATCGCTGCATTTTTACGTCTGAACCTCCTAGCATTAGGTAGCTGTAATATCTTCCACTGAGCTATGATAATACTGCAACACTGCAAGTGACTATTGCACCGTAGCTGGATGTTTTGTGGGGAGAGGGGGCCCCACTCAAACCCGACCACGTATGTATTATGAATACCATTTCATCGACTGAGAAATAGAGTCAGCATTTTGAAGAAATCCTTGGAGGATCCATATCAAAAGTCCTCCCCCCCTCCCGTGTCCCCCACATTTTCTTTTACCCACACCTGAGACCCACCCTGGCAAAAAAAATAAAAATAAAAAACTGCATCAACCTGCAAAATAAGAAAAGATCGCCTGCAAAAATACCCCAAGCACAGGAGTCATCAAGAAACATAGTGCTGCGTCTCTCCCTTTCCCACTCACTCTGTTCTCAGCATCTCTCCTCCTCCTCCTCCTCCTCCTCCACCACCACCACCTCTTCTCCTTTGCTTGCACCTTCTCCTAGTGGCTGCAGTTTCACATCATGACCCCACTCACATGTTCAGATCTCACATGCTCGTGTATGGGCATGCACATACTTCTGCCTGTGAGTGTGTAGGTATACTCAATCATACAATTTGTGGCATTATATACATGTGTATGATTGTGTGTGTGTGATGTTTTCTCAGAACAGCTCAGCATTTCTGATGTTCCACTTCCCACACCTTTGATACGATTTTCTTTTCTTCCTCCTGTGAAGTATTATAGTTGGCTTAGTCTTCTGGGAGTGAGAGATAGGATTTGTTCACCTCCTCACTCCTCTGACTGCGCTACAAGTCAGCTGGATAGGATCTTATCACAGGATAAGATGACACCTTGAGTGTGTGCATATTGTATCTTGCTTACATTGGGTGTTTACAGTCCTTCTGCAGGGCCAGTACTTCTGATCTCTAATATCATGACCACACACACACAGCTGTGCTTAAACTTTCCTCCTCACTTCCCATTATCTCATGCACATCCTCCACCCACTCCAGCATGACGTACAGCCAGAGCGACTCAGGCAGAGCATGTTGTCGGCGATACAGTCGCCAGGTACAGTAGTGCTGTGTCGACATTCCTCGGTGTGATTCCCCCACAGTGGGATGTGGATGGTGATGATGAGCTGTGGAACCAGCTGTGGTTCCAACATGGCTGTCATACTGACAAAAGAGCAGAAACTGCTCTGAAAGAGGTATGTACTGTATGTTGCCCATTACCATCTGTGGATTTGTGCTAATTGCTGAAACAGCAAGTACTGATAAGTGGATGTCTCTGGGAGATGTCATCATCACAATATATCCTTTTGGTTTAGGAGGAGGGCGACTCTGCTCTCTTTATAGAGCTGCTTGTCAATGATAAGGGCATTCTGACTATAATTAATCTTGTTATTCTCAGGGTATGCCACATGGTTTGACAGCTGTCCTGCCCTTGCATTTTTCCAAAGGTTTACTGTACATCCATATGTATGGATGTGGAGCTTGAGGCTCTTTAAAGATTCACAGAGGACCAATAACAATGAGTCTGGTGTTTGTGTGTTCATGTATGTGTAGGATCCTAAAGTTTCTTGTGGCCAAGAGGAAGTTTAAGGAGACACTCCGTCCATATGATGTGAAGGATGTCATAGAGCAGTACTCTGCTGGACACCTGGACATGCTGGGCCGCATCAAGAGCCTGCAGATGCGGTGGGTTTCATGTATTTAACTCCTACTGGTTTGTTTCTTCAACATGGAATTACTCTAATTCTGTGTTTAGGCCAGACATAGATATTGTAGTTTTTTTTTAATTGTTTAATAAGAACAGAAACAAATGAGTACAACACCACATGGTTTTCCATTGCTTTATGTGCAGATCTGTCTGGGACAGGATCAGTGGCTCTCTCCTCTTACAGTCCTTTTACTAAGCTAACTGTTTGCTGACTGTAGCCAGTCACTTTATTTGCAAGAAGGCACATAAGTGGTCTTATTTGCTGAATGCAAAAAAATGTCAAACTACTACTTTAAGTTAATTCAAAATCAATCAGTAAGAAAAATTTTTTAAAATGTATCTGTTGTGTTTGTGTAAAAGGGTGGACCAGATAATTGGACGAGGGGCCGTCCAGCCCGATAAGAAAGCACGCCCTGAGAAAGGAGAGAAGACGCTGCCAGAACTGGACCCACTGGATGAGCTAAGCATGATGGGACGTGTAGTCAAGGTGGAGAAACAGGTAACAGAGTGGTAGTTTGATTTATATAGCATCTGTGGAACTGTATTTTCTGTGTCATTAAATGAATCATTCAAAAATCTCAGTGGATCACTTTTACTCATATAGATCTAAAAAAAAAATCTGCCATATAAAGTACAACAGGAAGCAGGAAACTATGTAATTTAACCATCTGCAGTAGATTTAGCAGTGACTAACCTAAGTGGGATATGTTTTTGAGTGCTAAAAATAAGGTACTTCAGAGTTTGAAGATGATACACAGTGTGAAAAAAAATGCCCAAATAGTGTGTTTTCTTAGGTGCAATCCATAGAGAACAAGCTGGACCTCCTGCTCAACTTGTACTCTCAGTGCCTAAAGAAGGGCTCATCCCACTTCACCCTGTCCTCCCTCCTGGACCCTGACCTGACGTCTGACTACCAAAGCCCCACGGACCATAGAGACCTCTTCCCCTCCGCTAACACGCTCAACCTTTCCCAGTCTGAGAGTGGCAACTTGGAATGACAGTGAGTTGAGCAGTCTGGGGATTGTTCAAACACAGACACAAAACCTTTACAGGGCGTCTTCCTTTTGCCGAGTCCTCACTCTGAGCAGGCCAAAATTAAATGCCTTCATTTCATTTCTGTCTAAGATCATTTGTACCCCCCATCTCAAATCTGCATCTTCATTTTCTGTAAGTCAATGTGTTTCCAGAACTGATTCAGACAGAGGCCACCAGATGGCTCCACCTGACAAGGAGCCTCAGCCAAAGCTGCTCACCGCACACGCCTCTCAACCCGCTGGATGAGGATGGAGAATACTATTAGGACACATGAACAGCTATTACTTGAGTACTGATCACTTCAGCCTCTCACCTCTATGCCAACTTTAAATCTTCATCTGTAGATAGTCAGACTTTGAGCTTTGAAGTTTTGTAAATCTCTGGTGAATCCCCATTATCATTTCCTATTTTTCTTGGCTGTGTGAATGAACTGACAATTTAAATTTGTCCAGTATTTTAGAATGGCATCACAATTTTTGATGCTGTAATGAATGTAATGTTTCTCACCTGCACATTGTGCAGTCACGCCACCAGAAAAACAAATAAACGCTAAAGGTGCTGTGGACACAGAATTAATCTGCTCCCACAGACCTGGATGGGCACAACCTAGACAGCCACCTCGCCAAAGCATTAACCCTCCACGGTACACCATCCCACCCAAACAGAGGAGTAATTAATATGTAAATCCTGCTTTAATTGCCCAGACTTGCCACAGAAAGGCAGAGCTGGGAGAATGTGTTGGAGTGACTCTTGTGCACTGTACATGGTTTGTTTTGATCTCCGTTCCTTCTCTCAGAGGTTCTGTCTCCCAACAAGCCCACTTGCAAAAAAAAACATTACTCCCTGTTTGGCTGGCATTCAAAACAGGAATGTTCTTACATATTTAGGATGACGTAGAGCCAAAATGTGCATTCACAGGTCAAAAATCCCTTCTTTGCAATGTTTCAAAGTTGACTGCACCTCTTTGAGTATTCCAATAACTTAAATTTACTTCTTTTAACAGGCCCTTTAAGCCTCTGCCTTGCAGCCCACCCTCCAAACATGCATGTTCCCCAAAAAGTCTTGTAGATAAAACCTCACTGATCCTCAGTCAGAATATAGACATTAATGTCTGCACTGCTCCTCATCAGTGACATCAAGCCTCAGGTCAGGTTGGTCATGTCCGCTGGTTCAGATAGTCAGTAACACCTCACAACCTTTCATACAGGAGCACAATTCTCACTCAGAAGCCCTTTTCAGACATGCACTGGAACCCTGAAATTCTCTAGGCATTACGCATGGGAGCTGTATTTGAGAACCCAAATGTCTGAGTCAGTCCACCTGGACCTTAAGCATACTTGACTCTGCCAGCACCCTAGTACAGAGTCCATGTAAGGTCCGAGTGAGCTGGAGTGAGCCCATGTGAGAAAACAGCAGTATGTAGTCCTGAGTATCCACACAGAGCTAGTGAGCGTGTTGATGACATTCTATCATGTAACCGGTGTGAAACCAGAAGAATATAAACACCTGATGATGAAGAAAAACGGTCACTGACAATGAAGGCACCAGCAAAAAGATTCAGGAACTTTGTCGTTAAGAGCTGGTACCAGAATTGTCAGGCAGTTTTAAGTGAGCAAGAGACTTGGTTGTTTATGACCAAATTACAAACTGGATACATGACTGTCATGTCCTGCCTCCTGCACGCTCTACCTAGGTGTCCCCCACGCACAAACCAAACAGAGTATTTCCAGTAGGTGAGAATATGGACTCTCTCCTGTTGTGTGCTACATGTGTGAAAAGGGCCGCTCTGGACCAATCCAGATCATGTCCTGCCTCCTGCACGCTCTACCTAGGTGTCCCCCACGCACAAACCAAACAGAGTATTTCCAGTAGGTGAGAATATGGACTCTCTCCTGTTGTGTGCTACATGTGTGAAAAGGGCCGCTCTGGACCAATCCAGACCTGATTCTGCAGGCATAGTCCAGAGTTCATCCGTGAAAACGGCTATACAATCATCAGGTGCTACTTGCACTTGCAGAATCGTATTGACCCGTTTGGTGCCGTTTCACTGAACAGTGAACAACCTGGAAGGTGTCAAGGCCTAAAAAGCTTGAATTCCAGGCTGCTGTCCTCATGAATGCACGTCTTAGGAAATGGTTCCAGCACAGTGTGCATGGATAGGCTCCAGTCACTACTCCAGGTGTTACTGGCTGTCACTGTTAGTTACTGGCTGTCACTGTTATTCCGGTTTACTCTCTCTTATCTATTCTGGTTTTTTTTTGGGGGGGGGGTTGATGCACAGAAAATCCTCTGTGCTTGTGGACAAAACTGGAGAGTGTAAAAATACAAACATTTACTATACACACAATGACGTGTGTGTTTGTTCCTTTACTGCCTTTGCTTAAATATTTTCACTTGATAAACAGAAATATTTTTTTGTGAGTAGTTTTAGTTTTGATTTCTTTACTGTAATGTTCATACACTTGATTTGGTGCAGCATATAACAGCAATGTTTTAATTATTTTTTGATTGTTAAAATGAATGTAGAATTTAATTTAATATGTATTTAATTCAGCTAGATATGATGTAGTATTTTTGTCAAGTTGAATCATGGATGATGCAACTGTAACCACACACAGCTGATCAGGTTCACACGTGCACAGAGCTCATATGTATATTTTTTAATGTCCTCAGATAATTGCTGCCAGTTTCAACTAAGAAAACATTGACTATATTGTGTTTGGCCAGTGACAATACGTCTCTTGTCCCTGCAAGTGATCCATTTATTTGTTCCAGCCAAGCCAGATGACTCAGGTGCTCCACTTTTCCATTCAGGACAAGCCTGCATTTCAAACAGTGAATGTACTTCATTGTTCAGTCTATTTAGATTTGTTTCTAACCTGATGCTCTTGCTGCCATAAGAAATAAAAAATGGCACATTGGAGCTTGTTATTGGCATCATGCAATTTCTGCATTCATTTCATAGAGAAATGTATTTTTATTCTTTAGCTTAAATTAGAGACGCCTACTTATTGGAGGCACTGTTGCACTGAACAGTGCCGTCACACTATCACCTGGAAAATATATGTGAGAACGATATTGCATGCTGTTGTTAGCGATGGCCCCAGTATTAGAAACAAAAATGCTTAAGGATGTCTTCTGTGAAGTCTTAACTCGAGACATGAAATGAAATGACCTGTGCCTTCGATGTCTTCGTTCTATATCTGACATGATGCGTCTTTGTCTCAAACTTAAATGCTGCTTCAAAGAGAAGTGTTTCATAGAAATATCACATGAGGATAGCCATACTTGTTTTACAAACTTGTTCTAAGTCTAAAGAAACACAGTCATACTTGTTATGAGAGGCATACTGTAATTTGTGTATCACTGTAACATCCTCACATCAACACCCTTACTGTACTTTAAGACCTGTCACATCTGGAGGCTGGGGGCATGGACATTTTGTATCACAGGAAACTTGCCAGGCATGTGTCCTTTTAATAAGCATGTCACATAGATCAGAATGGCTTCTACACAACTACCTCTGAGGCCACTAGTGGGGCGCTAGACTAGGAACTCAAGTATGTGAAACCGTAACTGATTGTCTAAACTGACTGAATGCTATGCATGACTCAATCTGCACGTTCTCTTTTCTCTTTCTTACTGTTCTTCTTCATGCTGTCCTTACCGTCCAGCGTTCACTGACTTGCTGTCATTTGACATTCCAGCTCGTTGCCCTTTAACTGCTCTCTTAGGTGTCGGAACTGTTGTCATAATGAAACAAACTGATTAAAGCAATAAGCAAAATGCTAACCTGACAAAGTCTTCCAATTCTGATTTGATGTAACTGTTAGATGATGAAATATAGCACTTATCTTATTTTCTAATTGATTGTACATATGTTTGATCTTTTAAAGAGATAAAAATGTGTATCTGGCGAGGATAAAATTAGTTAACTTGAATAATTTATTAATTTATTTGTTTCAATAAAGCTCTTTGGACTGTAAGTTGTCTTTTTCTTCTCTAAACAATACTGTATGATGGCTTAAATTAGAAGAATACACTTCTGTAGCTAGGGTGGAAGTTGGTTGGCTCCAAATCTTGTGTAATGAGAAATCATTGAACATGCCCCAAAGAATTCGTGTCAGTACTGACTCGGGGAAAACACCAGTTACTGATAGACTTGGAAGAGTGGGTGGGATTATCAGGTACAGTCCTTGTTCCAATCATATCTCAAAGACAGGGGCTATGTTGTTTCCATCGGTGATCATAAATCTGAGTTGATCAAACATGTTTCTGGTCTCCTTGGAAAATGCAAACCCAGCAGGGCTCTGAGATTGGTAGGAAGCAGTCAGCTGGCAGAACCTCAGGTCAGGACCAAACAGGGTGGAACTACTTTAGCTGCTATGCTGCACCAACTTCCTGATGATGTAGTAAATGTGTCCCAACTCTCACCACTTTTTAATCTAAACTGAAAACTCTGCTAATTTCCTGTTCTTTTCATGGAGTGTTTTCTCTGCTCCACTTTTGTTTTGATAGCATTTGGGCCAACTTGCAAAGTATTACGATTACGGCATTGTATGTCATCTTCGTCTAATTATTTTTATTTAATTCTAATTCTTTTTTGGTCTTAATTGGTTTTCTTATGTTTTTAATGCTTATTGTTTTTAATGTTGATGCTTTCTTTACCTATGTAAACCACTTTGAATTGCTTCTGTGTTTCATATGTGCTATATAACACTGCCTGCCTATTAATATTTAGAGAAGGATGTTAGCTTTTAAATTACTTTTAGTTTACAATGAGAGAAGTAACTTCTTACAGAACATCCACAAAGAAAGGCACAGAGTTGCTTCTTAATGTTGGTTTAAAATGGTTTGATGACACAAAGAACAAAACAATTATTCCCTTTGCTCTCCTTTTGACTGGGGCGGCTGTGGTTCAGAACATAGAGCAGTCTCCTACCCGGAAGGTTGGTGGTTTAATTCCTGGCTTCCCTAGTCCACGTGTCGAAGTGCCATTGAACAAGATGCTGAAGCTCCAGTTGCTCCCAGTGATATCACTGGTGTTTGTGAATGTGAAAATGTGGTGCAATGCATAGGAAAGTACTATACAGGTTTTGAGACAATTTACCATTTTTCTCAAATTGCTCACAACAGTAAAGAAGGAATGCTTACTGACAGAGTGAACCCATTCATTAGGCCACAAATTCCATTGTGTTAGCGTGTGCAGCAGGCGACTGATAGGTTTGATTCAGGAAGTAAGACTATTTCCAGGTCTTCATAATGTGAAGTTTCCAACACCGTAGAAGTGATGCAACATAGTCATGTGTCGTTTGAACGGGTCGACAATCAAATAGGCAAATGTTTGCTCCTCCTCTTGTCTTCCAGGGTAACATCGTCCCGATTCATCCTACAGGGCATGAGTAAATTACAATGAGATAAAGATGTTTGAAAACAACAGATGTTTAGTGTGCCGATGTGCATGATCTGTGAGACTACTGATGTTCTCGAATCTGTAAGTCAGTGTCCATTCATGAGATATCTTACAATGGCTCTGAATCATCATCCAATGAATCAGTTCTCTTAAACTTCTTTTTTCAAATGACTATAGCTTCCTCTCATTCGAACACAGATACACTAGTCATTTAAATGTCAGTACTGTTAGGAAACATCCATAACCGGTATACAGTGTTCTTTGGCTGACACAGACAGACAGGGAGCCAGTCACTTACATAGGCACACACTTTGAGCACTGTGGAGACGACACTGATCTTCCTGGTCTCTGGATCCTTCTGCACACTACAGCATGAAGGAATTACAAGTTCATTATTAGATACATAGTGATACAGGCATAAGAGACGTAAGTAAACCCAATCAATTGCAGTCGGCTAACTCTAGTTGAAAAGTGGGGGCTTTGTACAGTTTGTCTCAACCATGCATATATAGTTTACGTCGCCACTAGGAAAAAGGGCATGATGGAAGGAGCAAAGAGCAGTTAGGAGTGTCAGTTTGTTTTGAGTCCCACAGTGGCAGAAAAGAAATGATCTAGAGTGAAATTTGACAGCATGCATGCGCGTATCCCCACCTGATCAGGTCTTTGTACATTTTCTTTGTGGTGCTTATGTAAGGATCAATGGTATCTTCGTACTGGCAGAGCTCTCCCCCAAGACACAAGTGCTTGAAGAGGCGAAACAGAAACTCTCTTCGCTCCTCTTTCCCAACCACATAGTAGTGGTCAGAGTCCTCTTCCTGCAACATCTTGAGAAACAGAGGATAACCTGAACTGCCAAACATGTCAAAAATACAACAGATACAGACAGACAGATGAAGGAAAGTCACCTGTCTGAGCTCATCATAGTCAGGGTAGACATCATGAAAGCATTTAACTACATGTCCAGAAGGCCTCAGGATCCCACAAGAGTAGACTGGGTCAAACAGCTCCATGGAGACTGCAGTGCATGGCACCACCTCCACATCAACAGACACCACTGGCTTGTCTATAACACACCAGATGTACACAGATGCCAAAAACATTCCACAGAGATCTGAATGCACATATTGTCCAGCATATGAGATCAATTTCCTACTATCAATGATCAAAGGCGTTCTGGGGGAACATACCAAGAGGCACCCAGACTCCTGCTTCCATCTTTCTCAGACTTGATACCACATTAGGGTCTGTGAAGAAACACTGCATATACACAGTTACACCAAAAGCATTCAAGTATGATTAAATACATGAACACACTTTAGCAAAACAGACCACAGCTGCTTTATCTAGTTATTCCTTTGGTCTTCTTTTTCAGCATCACTATCATTTGTGTTCTTACTACTGATGAGGGTGAAGTAGATGGTCTGCCCTGTGACCCAGTAGGTTACTTACACTATGATTTTATACTGAGTAGTAACATATCCTATTATGGTGTGTCTTACCAGTGCAAACTTTTCACAGTTGTAAGGGTGAAAGCTCTGATCAAAGCTGTAAGACTGAGCTGAAATCCTCCCCAGCATGGACCTGAAATGAACAAACACATTCATTTAACTAGAGCTACTGTACCTGCAGCTCGACTGACAGAAGGAGCTAACGTGCACATTAGGCTGTTAAGTCTTCAGGTACATTTTAAATGTTACCATTTCATTAACAGCGCTAAAGTGTCTTTGTCCTGTTGGAAGAGGAACTTCTTGGAGGAAAGAAGAGAAAAAGAAAAACTTTGCTCAATGGCATATTTCTCTCCAGCCATGTTGACTCTTTTGTTGGCCTAGAAAAAACAAAGAAGACTCGCTCGTTTTCACAAACAAGTAGCGGGTTTCTATGCGTTAAAAGCCAATCAGCGTCAGGTGGGCTCACTAACAGCCAATGAGCGTGTGCTTTTGTTAGTTTGTTCCGGTTACAAGGAATGAAAACAGAGTGAGCGGCTTTGTCTTTTCACCTATCTCAGATGTGTGTTTGTTGCCTTGACAACGGATGCTGGTAACGTCGCCGCGTGCTACGAGAAAGCTAATGCAAAGCTAACGCTAGCCTGTTTTAGTGTTTATAAATTGTTATTAGTTAGTCTTTTGTCCCCAGCAGATGACGGTTCCTTTAGTAAAACCCTTTGTTAAGAAGTGTATCGAATCAATCAGAGATGGCAACCAAATGTTCTCCTTCGATAAACGAACCTGTTATAGCCACCAGTATGGAAGCAAAACGGCCTCATAAAGATTTGAATCTATATCAGCATCTGAATAATAGGTTTTGAAATATTATACTTTGAATTCTATATTCTGAATGAATGCACTCTGTATTTTACGCAGTGAAATTGCAAGTAGAGATTTTCAAGTTAGAAAACTACATCATTTTGATTTCAAACCACACCAATATTATTAAAATAATTCAAATATAAAAATGTACATGTCTAATTTTCAAAAAATATATTCAATGCGTTTATTTCAAGAAGCACTATTCAGAACCAGAAAGTTCAATCAACTCACAATTCAGACTGTGACATTCAGGTGCTGAAATTCAAGTGCAAAAATTCAAAACAACATCCGGGACACTGGGCAGTAGCAATCGAGCGACAATGCCATCGATCGGATCCCTGGCCAATCGGGTAAACACAGGTCAGTCATGTGACCCTGTAGGCGCGAATGTCTACTACATACAGAGGAGGGGAAGGTTTCACCTGTGATTTTCGAAGTGATGGCGGAGGAGGGCAGCGCGCCGGTAAGTGATAACTGTCTTTAAAACGTTGTGTTAGGTATGAATATTGTCTGATAGATTTTGTGATTTGCGATATAAGAGTTTTATTTATGGATGTTGTTGGACCCCCGTGATTGTGTGGTGTGTATCTAAGACATTCTGACATGATATCTAGTGACATGTCATGACATTAAACATAAGAAAATATTATGATTGCGATTATGATTAGCCAGACATCCTGTCTACACTAAACATTTCTAATACATCAAGTATCTAACCAATATCTATCTGCCTAAAAATACCTAACACTGTCCACAACTAGCTTAGCTAGCTAGCTATCAAGCTATGGCTGTCTTAATTATCTTAGCTAGTTATGGGGGGCAGCATGGCGCACACAGTATTGCTGACTGCAAGTTGTTGCCAGCCATAGATAAAATTCATCATGCTAGCATGTCTCCCCCCGGCCAGCATTATCTTTCAGCAGTCTACAAGTGCTCAGCTGCGCTTTGAAATGCGACGGATAAAATGCCAGTTTCTGTATGTCACGTTCTCGAAAGCGCGGGTCCGGCCATTGTCTGTCTATCTCACCCCCTAAACCTGCTCAGTCCCACGATGCAACTAACGTGCATATGTTCAGGGTTAGGAAGACGAAAATTGTAGTATTAGTAGCAATGTAATAGCATAATAAGTAGTGGATTGTGACTTTAGGAAATGTACAATAAAACGTTCATTTTACTGTTTTCTCATTCTCTTAGGAATTGTTGCTGAATCATATTTTGGACCGACTCAGCTCACGATT